ACCAATCTTAGCAAGGCCAAAGACGCAGCACAATCGATATGGTAGAGCTTTCGTAATGCATATTAAAATACAAAGTGTAAAATCAAATTATATCCTGATTCACAATCAACATGTACGTTAGTTCCTCACGCACCAACTGAATAAACCTATACATATCACCGGAAAAATAAAAATAAACCAAATGAAGTTCATTTTGAGTTGATCTATGGTGGTTTCGACGAAGGCATCCAAAAAATGATCGATACACTAAGCCACGAGCGAATTTAATTCGGTATAGGGAGAAATTGGATCCCAAATTTTTAAGGTCTTTGACTAATCATCGGGGACATCTCCAATATTTATCGTTCGCTTAAATATCATGAGGGAAAGAAAAAAGCCCGCAAAGCATAGGTTAAGTGCGAAGGAAGTGAATTTAAAACGAAACTCCAAAGCATAAAAAGGTGAGCAAACGCATATACTCCCAATCGTCCAAGCGTGATAAACTTAGGCTGTGGGCCGCAATATAAGTTAAATATTGATCATACAAAATGGAGGGGGCAGTGAACAACGATTTCGCGACATAAAATCCCTAACTTTTCCCGCCTATACTACTAAAAGGCACAGTCTAATAAAAAACGTTCCGGATGAAGTTCGTTACAGACAACATGTATGAAGATTAAGATCCCATTTGACAAAAACGAAGAGGTAAAACTATTAGATAATGCAAAATATGGTTTGGCATATGATTAGCTTTAAGCACATTGACGCCAGCAGCAGTGCTGGATCAGAAAAGTACTTCCCAGCACACAAGGTCAAATCCGTACTAAAAAACGTTTGGAACCATATATTATAAAAATGGCAAGTATATTTGCATTTAAAGTAGGATATGGCTAAAGTGTTAGTACGCTGCAGACTAATTTGACTTCTTCATATCGATTATTATAGGGCCAACATTATCACCAGTGAGCTTATTGTGTTCATTGTGGGATCCATCACAGTAAGGAAACTACATTATGCATAAATAACTGAGATTTACCTTTGAAGAACGCCAGCACCTGCAGTACACTTTCTTTTCTTTTATTGAGTCCAACTCTTCAATGTCGACACATTTGTCTATATGTTTGTTGTAACATGGATTAACCAAATGTTTCCCCTTATCGCGATGTGTCTTGATGGTGACATACACGCAATATGACAAACCGGCGCTAAAGGCGCAAAAAGTTGAAAGTCCAAGTA